TACATAGAGAGTTCCAGGCCAACCAGGGCTACTTAGTGAGACACTGTTTAAATAAAAAAAGACTGGCACTGGAGAGATGGCTCAGCAGTTAAGAGAGCTGGCTGCTCTTGCTGAGGACCTGGGTTTGGTTCCCAGTACTCACATAGTGGCTAACAACTCCAGTTCCAGGGGATTCAGTGCCCTCTTCTGTTCTCTGTAGGTATTGCATGACACAGGTGCACTTACATATATACAGGCATAACACTCATACACCTAAAATAAAAATAAATAGATAAAAAAAACCCAACTTCCCCCAGTTTCAGTTTTCAGCTAGGAATGGTGGTGCACTTGGGAATGGAGGCAGGAAGACTAGGAGTTCAAGGTTATTCTTAGCTACATAATGAGTTCCATGCCAGCTGGGACTACGTGAGACACTGCCTCAAAAAACCAAAAGTAAAAAGAAAACATTGTTTTTCAACAAAATTGGTGATATCAACATTGGTGAAAGCCACACTGACTTCTTAGGGGCAGAACACTCTAAGAACATCTTCTTGGGTCGCGGTATTAATTTTTGCTTGTTTGTTTCTTTTGAGACAGGGTCTCACTATGTAGTCCCAGCTGGCCTGGAACTCCCTATGTAGATCAGGATAGCCTGGAACTGGGAGAGATACGCCTGTCTATGCCTCATAAATGCTGGGACTAAAGGCATGTGCCACCACACCCAGCTCCAAGAAGATCTTCTGTGGGTCACAGCAAATGTTCTTTGGGGAAGTAAAGTACATCTTGTTTGAAAAGGGAGAGCCTCCTTTGAGATAACCTCTTTCCTGATGCCAGTTATGAGCAGGGTATATGAAGTCATATATGTATGTGTGTGTGTGTGTGTGTGTGTGTGTGTGTGTGTGTGTGTATCTGAGTCACAGGGCAGCCCAGTCCCAGAAAGAATTCATCAGCAAATATATACAGCTTGCATTTGTGTTAACTGAGACTGTCACCCAGTTCATACAACTTTTTTCTTTTTCTTAAATATTTATTTATTTTATTTTATTTTTTATTTATTTTTATTTTTTTGGTCTTTTTGAGACAGGGTCTCCCTGTAGCCCCAGCTGTCCTGGAACTCACTATGTAGACCAGGCTGGCCTTGAGCTCACAGAGATCTACCTGCCTCTGCCTCCTAAGTGCTGGGATTAAAGGCATGCACCACCATGCCTGGCTTAAATATTTAATTTTTTTATTATTACTGTTTTTTGGTCTTTTTGAGACAGGGTCTCCCTGTAGTCCCAGCTGGACTGAAACTCACTATGCAGACCAGGCTGGCCTTGAATTCATAGAGATCCACCTGCCTCCACCTCCTGAGTGCTGGGATTAAAAGTGTGTGCCACCATGCTGAGCTTATTTTATTTATTTTTATTTTATGTATATGAGTATATTACCTGCATGTGTGTAAGTACACTTATGTTGTGCCCTTGGAGGTCAGAAGGGGGAGATGAATCCCCTGTTAACTAGAGTTGTGGATGGTTGTTAGCTGCCGTGTGAGTGCTGGGAACCAAACCCAGGTTCTCAGCAAGAGCAGCCAGTGCTCTTAACTACTGGGCCATCTCTCCAGTCCCCCCTGCCCTTTCTTAATTTAAATAATATTTTATTTATTATTATTATGTTTATGTGCATGAGTGTATTGTCTGCATGCATATAAGCGAGTACCAGGCCAGCTGGGGCTACAGGGAGACCGTGTCTCAAAAAACAAAAAACCAAAGTCCTTGGTGAGTTGTTTGAAAGGTAAGGGTGGGAGACAGCATTTCTCTGTAGCCCCAGCTAGCCTGGAACTCACTGTGTTGACCAAGCTAGCCTCAGCCTCACAGAGATTCTCCTGCCTCTGCCTCCTGAGTACTAGGATTAAAGGCATGGGTCACCATACCTGGCAGTTATTACACTTACTTTTATTGTTGTTGTTTTTTATTATTTATTTTTTGGTCTTTTTTGAGACAGGGTCTCCCTGTAGACCAGCTGTCCTAGAACTCGCTATGTAGACGAGGCTGGCCTTGAACTCACAGAGGTCTGCCTTCCCCTGTCTCCCAAGTGCTGGGTTAAATTAAAGGCGTGCACCACCACGCCTGGCACTTTTAAAGACTGTAGAAATTTGGTCCTATTCCAGTGATGGAAAGGAACTAGTAGGTAGAGGAAAGCTGGAGAGTATGGCATCCGAAAGAGGGTCAGAGTGGTTGAACAGAGCCCTGAGGAGTAGTTAGTAGTAAGAGGAGCAACTTTCCTAAGTGGGAAGGAACCTAGGCATAGAGACAGGTAAGGGCACATGGTTTACTGCATGAGCCAGGTTTAATTCTCACCTGATGGCTTTCTGCTGGGGAGGGGAAACCAGTTTTGAGCAGACTGTTAAGAATGTACAGTGCCCTGAAGGGACTAAGAGCGCAGCCTGGAGAACTCTGTCAGGCCCCAGGGGAGAATTTAGAGTGCAGCAGGACTAACCTATGTGGCCATGTGACTTTCTTCTGTGGAGCTCAGCTGCCTTCATGTGACTTAGCCTGAAGGCCAGTGGATTTCATCAGGGCTAGGGCTTTTGTAAGTGATTTAGATAAAAGAATGAGAAAAGAGGGTAAGGACTGGTAAAGAGAGTGGTTAAGACTGAGAGTGCAGCTCAGAGTTGAGGGAGGGTGTGTACTTAGCAGGGAGGAGACCCTGGGTTCCAAACCCAGAATGACTGACTGACTGAATGAATGAATAAATATTATGTGGAGGAGAAAGTGAAGATGGGAGGGAAATAAAAATCAGAGCTCAGTGGCCTGAAGGTTCTTATGAATCAGAGAATAGGTGGTTTGGAAGACTTGAGACAAGTGCTGGAGTGGTGGAGAGGAAGCTGGACTCCCATAGTGATATCTGTCTGAATGGCTGTTTCAGATGTCAGGTGCCATGATGATCCCTGGGTGGCAGAGGAGTGGCAGCAAGAATGGAAAGGAGATCACTGCATGTAGGAGGCAAAGGACTCAGGCAATAAAAATGCATGACATTTGTTTAAAAAAAGGCAACAAATGCATGATATTAATAAATGTCAGCTGTGGTGGTATGCCTTTAATCCCCAGCAGAGGCAGGCAGATCTCTGTGAGATCAAGGCTGGTCTACATAGCGAGTTCCAGACCAGCCAGGGCTACAGCGAGACTTTGTTTCTTTCTTTCTTTTTTTCTTCTTTTTAACATTTTATTTATTATTTTTATTTTGTGTGTATTGTCTGCATGTATGTAAGTGCACCCATGTCATGCAGTGCTCTCGGAGGTCAGAAGAGGGCATCAGATCCCCTGGAACTGGAGTTACTGACAGTTGTTAGCTGCCATGTGGGTGCTGGGAATCGAACCCAGTTCCTTAGCAAGAGCAGCCGGTTCTCTTAACCAATGAAGCACCTCTCCAGCCCTGAAACCCTGTTTTTTTTAAAAAAGGCAACAAATGCATGAAATTAATTTTTGTATTCAACACAGCATTCCCAAAATATTAGCATTCTAACACATAACATAAAATTATTAATGGGAGAGTTACTATTCTTTCTCCATACAAGGTCATCTCTGCCTTCTACCTCTGTGTCCTTTTTTTTCCCTCTATCTTATGAGAGGTTTCTGTCAGTTTTACCTTGCCCTTTTCTTTAAAAATATTAAAAAAATACTTCTGCTGTCATTTCTCTCTGAGCACTAACAGTAGAAGCCAAACAAAGTCAAACAAGCAGAAGGGATCAAAAGAATTCCTCAACATAAGATAAAGCAACAAAACTGTCAGTGACATGCTCAGAGAAATAAGAGAAGTATGAGAGAATCCATGAAGCAAGAACAGAATGCTATAAGAAGCAACATCAAAAGAGCTCTTGGAGCTGGATGTAGTGGTGTATGTCTGTCACCTCAGTGCTTGGGAGATGGAGACAGGAGGATTGGGGGTTGGTGGTTATCTTGAGTGAGTTCAAGACCAGCCTGGGTAACAGGAGACCTTGTCTCAAAATGCCAAAGCAAGCAAACAAGAGCCTTTCCAAGTTAGAATAAGAATAAAAATGTTCCATTTGTCTCATGATCCTTCAAGCTGTATTCACATAATTTTTTGAGACAGAGTCTCACTGTGTAGCCCTGACCAGCCTGGAACTCACTATGTAGACCTGCCGGTTCATGATCTCACAGAGATCACCTGCCTCTGCTTCCTGATTGCTGGAATTAAAGAAGGGAACTAGAAGCTGATTGAAAGCTCTGGTGAGGGGTGGATGGGGTTTTTCAATTGGGAACCCTGATGCTGTCATCTGGGCAACACTTTAGGAAGTATTTTCAAGGTCATCATTCTTAGACATTTCTGACAAATTAGGTTTTTTCTGTGACCACAAGTTCACTGCCAGAGTGTGGATTTCTTAGAATGAAGGCTGGGATCTTAACCCTGAGCATGTGATTGTTCTGCCCTCAATACATTACTCTGCTTCAGCTTAGCCTGGGATCCCCAGTCAAGGTCCTCGAGGCTCCTCTTGCCCCTCTACTGCCTTTACCAGACAACAAGCCTCCAATGCTTTCCTGGAATGAGGGAAGGGCCCTGCCAAACTGCATAAGTAGGTCACGGGAAAGCTCTTTCTTAAAATTTCCACTGGTTTTCCTGTTTGAGTCCCACTTTCAAAGCCCCTTCTGGAGATTTCCTTGAAGCTACAGCCCCTGGGGCCTTTAGAGAGCTGTGGCTTCCTAGCTGTTGCTGTTGCCCACTTGGCATACCCCTCTGCTCCTCATCCACCATCTACTGTTCAACTTCCAGGTTTTGTTTGTTGTCTCTTCACACTGGTGGGCATGTGCGTTACACATGCAGAAATCCCTTTTGTTGCTGTTCTCACCATTTGGGGAAGAAGCAAATGCAACTCTGTCCAGTCTGCCTCTGTCACCTAGAGGTTCTGTTTCACTTCCTGCCTCTCAGTTCCTTTGTGCTCCCCACTCTTGCGCTCCTTTTTCTGCTGTCAGCACCAGACTGTTCCCTAAAAGCAGTCCCTCAGCTTTTCTGCTTTCTTTCAGGACGCTTCTGATTCTCTTTGTGGAGATCGATTACTGGGAGCGGCTGCTGTTTGAGACGCCCCACTATGTGATGAACGTGGCAGAACGAGCCGAGGACCTGCGCATTCTGCGGGAGAATCTGCTACTTGTTGCTCGAGACTACAACAGGTGGGTTCTACCCTCACCCAGCCCTTCTGGATGCTACGGCAGCCCTTCGTCTTACCTCCCAATGCTAGCGTCTGTTTCTCCTGTCCTTACATTTCTTTCCCACACTCTTTCCTGTGGCCCTACAATTATTTCTCTCCCTTACAGTTTTGTCTTTTAAGTGTAGGAGAGAGAGCAAAAGCAACCAGCCCCTCCCTCATAGCAGGACGCTTGACCATGGGTGGCTTTAGGATTATGGCCACAGAATGATATCAGATTCACTGAACAAAGGCTGTGCTGCCCCCATCTAACCCTTCTTTCAGTCTGAACTCTGGTACCCATCTCTGGGGTGAGATTTCTATAACAAGATACCATAATCTGGGTGGTTTAGAAAGAACTGAGTTCATTGCTCACAGTTCTAGGAGCTAGGAAGTTCAAGATCAAGGTATAAGAAGGTTCAGTGTTAGATGAAGTCCCACTTCCTGGCTCCTAAGTGGCTACCTTCTTGCAGTGTCTTCACATGATAGAAGAGACAGGGGCTGTCATAGGTCTCAGAATCAAGGCACTGATCCTATTCATGAATGCTTCACTTTGATGCCCTAATCACTTCCCAAAGCTCCACAGCCTAGCATTGTCACATTGGAAGGGAAGAACTGAACATAGGCATTTTGGGAAGACACAATCATTCAGACCTTATCAGGTACCTTTCTCAACTCAGTGAAAGTCCAGTCTTTGTTTGTCTAGAAAGGCTACATACAGTGTGGTAGCCTCTAGCTGCATGTAGCTATTGCTATTTAAACTACTTAATTAAAAATTGCCTATTGTCACCAGGCGTGGTGGCACACACCTTTAATCCCAGCATTTGGGAGGCAGAAGCATGTGGATCTCTGTGAGTTTGAAGCCAGCCTGGTCTACATAGTAAGCTCAGGCCAGCTGGGGCTATAGGGAGACCCTGTTTCAAAAAGCCAAAAAAAAAAAAAAAGTGTGTGTGATGGTGGTGGAGGAGAGCCCATTTGTCACAGTGTGTATGTGAAGATCAGAGAGCAACTTGAAGGAGATGGTTCTTTCCTGTCATGTAGGCCCCAGGGAATTAACTTGTCAGGCTTGATTGCAAACACCTCTATCTACTTCTTCCCCTGGGCAACACACTTGAACATTTGCATTATATCACAGACAGTTTCTTTAGAAAGCTCTAGTTTAGACTGCAACTTTCAGAAATGGCTTCAAAGTTTCCTGACATGGAGGAGAGGGCTTCACAGTTTTTTTCCACTAAGTACTAGTCCTTTGTTTTACACAGGATTATTGCCATGCTGTCTCCAGATGAGCAGGCCCTGTTCAAAGAGTGTATCCGATTCCTGGATAAGAAGATCCACCCAGGACTGAAGAAGCTGCATTGGGCCCTGAAAGGGGCCAGTGCCTTCTTTATCACTGAGTGCCGCATACACGCCAGCAAGGTGGGCCCTGGCCATAAGACGATTAAGGTCTATAAGGCTGACAGAAAGGCTGATAGAAAGGGTGATCAACACCTGAGCCGTGGGTAATGGAGGAGAGACCTAGGAGTATTAGAAAAGAAATCAAGTATGCTTGAGGAAGGACATGCCCCCTCTCTTCCTATATTTGGTGCTGGGAATTGAACCCAGGGTCTTGTGCATGCTAGGCAAGTATTCCTCCACTGAGAAGGATTTTTTTTTTAAATGTCAGCCACTCCACTCTGCAGGAGAATAACATCCAAAGGGCCTCTTCCCAATCTGAAACTCATGGGAAGGGGTATAGTTCGGCTGGCAATAATGTCATAGAAGGTGCCACCCATGAACTGTGTGATTTTAGGTACAGATGATTGTGAATGACTTCAAGGCCTCCACTTTGACCATTGGCTGGCGGGCCCAGGAGATATCAGAAATGCTACTGGTGCGTGTCAGTGGCAAACGGGTGTACAGGGGCCTGGAGTTCGAGGAGACGCAGAGAGAACACCGGATGGCTGTACAGCAGAAACTGATGAGCCTGCATCAGGATGTGGTGAACATCATGACCAACTCCTACGAAGTCTTCAAGAATGATGGCCCTGAGGTAGACAACTGTAACTCGGGTTTGTGGTAGGGAAACCCACATTCCCTCCCGTCCCATCAGACAGCTCTCTTGGCTCTCTGGCTTTTTCCCAATGTATGTTTTTCTTTTTTTAAATATTTTATTTATTATTTTTATTTTATGTGTATAAGTGTATTGCCTGCATGTATGTGAGTGCACCCATGTGTACAATGCCGCGGAGGTCAGAAGAAGGCTTCTGATTCCCCTGGAACTGGAGTTGAGGATGGTTCGTAGCTGCCATGTGGGAATCGAACCTGGGCCCTCAGCAAAGGCAGCCAGTGCTCTCAGCTGCTGAGCCATCTCTCCAGCACCCCCAATGGATGTTTTTCAGATATTCTGCTCTGGTCCCAGATTTGGTCACCTTGAATTTGTCAAGCTTCTCCCTGCCGTAATCAGGATTCTGGACTTTCTGGGACTGTTTTGTTCTTTTCCCTGCCAGTTTCTCCTCATTTCCCAGGGCTGCCTCTGGTTTCCCTGAAGGATTCTCTCTCTTGCCCCGTCTTCCTACCAGATTCAGCAGCAGTGGTTGCTGTACACGATTCGGCTGGACCACATGATGGAGGATGCCCTCCGCCTGAATGTGAAGTGGTCACTGCTGGAACTATCCAAGGCCATCAATGGGGATGGCAAGACCATTCCGAACCCACTTTTCCGAGTACTTGTCATCTTACAGAATGATACACAGGGAGGTGTGGCACAGGTAGGGGTCATTGAGCCTCCAGCACCTCAAAACTATCACACTTTAATCCTTAGTTTCTTCCCGGTTCTTTAATTTAGTCCTCTGCCTTGACTCTCCTATGGCCTCAGGCCCAGTCTGAAGTGTTCAGCTTTACCAGTCCTGAGGTGCACCTCCTTGATGGGCTGTGCTAAGGCCCTCTCTGCTGTGCTTTTCCGTAGGTGGAATTCTCACCTACCCTTCAGACTTTGGCAAGTGTGGTCAATGACATTGGCAGCCACCTCTTTTCCACCATTTCTGTCTTCCACCACCTCCCTGATATCCTCATCAAATGCAAGATACATCGAGAACCCATCCATGTACTTGTGGGTGAGTGGGCTGTGGTGAGGGCACACCATGGGAGATATTAAACTGAGTGGAGCTAGGAGGAGAGACCACTGGTCTGGTGTATCTGGTGGGAAACCCAGCTAAGGGGCCAGACTGAAGGACAGTGCACTGGCTGGGAGGTGTTTGAGATCAGGTGACTGATACTTGTGGATTTTGAGAATTGGGGTGGGAGATGAACAAGGACAAGTGTGAGACTGGTACTGTACTAGGAGTGGCCTTGATCTCTACAGGAGAGACCTCTGGTCCTGTGGAAGAGACACAGGACTAAAATTTCACTTGCTGCTTCTTCTGTTTTCTAATGTTCATGGTTGAGTACATTTCTTTGGGGGAACTTGTGTTGGAGTGGAAGGTCCAGGGCTAGGGCTTAGACTGGAGTGAATGTTGGAGAGAAACATTTTTCTTGGTCTCCTGAAGAGCGAGATGAGGACATTAAGAAAATCCAGGCCCAGATCAGCAGTGGCATGACTAACAACGCAAGCCTGATGCAGAATTACCTCAAGACCTGGGACATGTATCGGGAAATCTGGGAGATCAACAAGGACTCCTTCATTCGTCGCTACCAGCGCCTTAATCCCCCTGTCTCTTCTTTTGATGCTGACATTGCCCGGTAAGTGGAGAAATGGAGGTTTGAGTATCTACAAGTATAGAGTTCGCTAGAGGAGACTGGGGTCCAGAGACATGGGAAGAGGACAGTAGAGCAGCAGGTACAGACATTATGTGTCCTCAACTATAGGAAAAGAGCAGGACTGAAGGCATTGGGCCTTTGTTTCTCAAGGGTAGAGATCCAGAAAGAGCTGGACAAGACTTAAGGAAAAACAGCTGTTTGGGCAAGGATAGCAGGTTCCATTGGGAAGAAGAAAATGCTAGAGAGCTGAAAGATGAAATCTGGGTGTGGTGGCACAGACCTATAGCAATCCCATAGCTTGGGAGGATGAGACAGAAGCATTATAGTTTGAGGCTAGCCTGAGCTACATAGCAAGATTTTGCCACAAGAAGAAAAGGAGGAAGAGGAGGAGGAAGAGAGGATGAAGAGAGAAGAAGGAAGAGGAAGGAGGAGAAGGAGAAAGAGGAGGAGGAAAAGAGGAAAAAGGGAGGAGGATGAGGGGGGAGAGGAAGGGAGGAGGAAAAAAGGAAGAGGAGGGAGGAAGATAAGGAGGAAGAGAGGAAGAAGAAGGGAGGAGGAAGAGGAAGAAGGGAGGAGGAAGATAAAGGGGAAGGAGGAGGAGGAGGAAGTAAAGTAAAAAAGAGAGGGCACTTTACTCAACTCTAAGGTGATAGGTTGGAATTAAATTGAAGAAGATTCTTAAATTCAGGCCTTAATTGTCTGAATTTCCATGGACCACTGGCCATGGGTATTCATTTATTCAATACAATTGTCCTATGGGCTTTGGAGATTTTTTTTTTTATCTGTATGTAGTGCACCTGTGTCATGCAATGCCTGCAGAGGTCAAAAGAGGGCATCGGATTCTCCTGGAACTGGAGTTATGGATGGTTGTTAGCCACCATGTGGGTGCTGAGAATCGAATCTGGGTCCCCTGCAAGAGCAGCCAGTGCTCTTAACCACTGAGCCATCTTTCTAGCCCCCAAGATTTTTTTTTTTAAGGAAGAAAATAAAGCCAGGTGTGGTGGCCTACAACTTTAATCCCAGCACTTGGGAGGCAGAGACAGGCCAGATTGAGGCTACCCTGATCTACGTAGTGAGTTCCAGGTCAGCTGGGGCTACAGGGAGACCCCATCTCATCAAAACAAAACAAAACCAAAACAAAATGGAAGAAAATAACTGCATAAGGTCTTTCTCCCATGGGTGATAATGTGATAAGGAAGATAAAAGCATTGCTAATGGAGTGCTAGCTGCAGAATGCTTGGAAGTCTTGGGCTTCCCACCCTGACCAGGCAGGCTTTTTATATTCTCTAGTCTCAGTTTCCTGTGAAACCGATATTATACAACCTACTTTAGACTGTTTGAACAGTTATTAGATATACATATGTATACACACACATATATGTACTCTGTGACAGCTACAAACATGTTGCTGTACTTGCTATGATTGCACTAATTCAATGCAATGCATACTACCTCCAAGTGTGCGAGGTGCCAGGGAAGTTCTCTAGGTGTGTTAGTCAGTTTTCATTACCACAAAAAAAAAAAATGAGAAAATCAACTTATCAGGAGAAAAAGTTTGAAGCCTGGTGTGGTAGTGCATGTCTTTAATCCCAGCACTCAGGAGGCAGAGGCAGGTGGATCTCTGTGTGTGGTTGAGACCAGCTTGATCTATATAGTTCCAGGCCAGCTGGGGCTACTACAGGGAGACCCTGTCTCAAAAAGACCAAGTAACCAAATATCCCTAGAGAGAGAGAGAGAGAGAGAGAGAGAGAGAGAGAGAGAGAGAGGTTTGTTTTGATTCAGTTTGGGTAAGTGTAGTCCATGACCAGATGGCACCATTGCTTGGGCTTATGGATGAAACATGCTGTAGTAGAAGCAAAGCTGCACACCTCGTGGCTTAGAATGAAAGAGAGAGAAGGGGGCCAGGGTCCCATACTTCTCTCCAAGGCACACCCCCAGTGATGTTCCCACTAGGACTCATCTCTTAAAGACTTCCCACTAGGTTCATCTCTTAAAGTTTCCACTACCTCCCAGTAGCACCAAGCTGGAGCCTGAGCTTTTAATACATGAACCTTTGATTTATTTATTTATTTATTTATTTATTTATTTATTTATTTATTTATGTTTTATTTAATTTAATTTAATTTTTTTTTTGTCTTTTTGAAGCAGGCTTTCCCTGTAGCCCTAGCTGTCCTGGAACTCACTATGTAGACCAGGCTGGCCTTGAATTCACAGAGATCTGCCTGCCTCTGCCTCCCAAGTGCTGGGACTTCAGGTGTGTGCCACCACGCCCGGCTGGTTCATTTATTTTTATTTTATGCATATGAGTGTTTTGCCTACATGTATGTAAGAGCACCATGTGTGTGAAATGCACGTGGAGGCCAGAAGAGGGTATCAGAGCCCCTGTAACCTGGAACTGGAGTTATAGACAGTTGTTATCTGCCATGTGGGTACTGGGAACTGAATGCAGGTACTCTGAAAGAGCAGCCAGCCCTCTTAACCTGAGTCATCTCTCCAGCCCATTCATGGACCTTTGGAAGATATTTGAAATCCACATATAGCAGAAAGGGAATTTCCAGCCAAAGTTTTCATGAAGAAAGTACCTTTGGGGCTATGCTTTCTAGGGGTTTCAGCAGGCAGAGATGGGCAAATGAGGAGGGTACCCCACATGAGGAAATGGCACAGAGGTACAGATTCGAGTCCACCAGTGTGTTCCCCCGAAGAGAACAGACTAGGGGTACAGGAAAGGAAGTAGGCAGAGGGGTTTTTGTACAGCAGCACATCCTCTGGGGTGGCTCTGTTATTACTGTATTACAGGTGAGGAAGCAAAAGCTCAGAATAGTTCAGCAAATAAACAACAACAAAACCAGAGAAAAGCACAGGAGGTTGGTGCAGTGGCACACATCTGCAGTCCCAGCTATTCAGGAAACTGAGACAGGAGAATCATTGAGATCAGGAGTTTGAAGCCAGCCTCGGAAAATATAAAAGCCCGTCTCTTAAACAACAACAACAACAACAAAACAAAACAAAACAAAACCCAAGACGAAAAACAAAAACTCATCTGCTTGAAGCAACGAAGCTAGAAGCATCACAGTGTGAGCTCAACCCAGACCTACACAACTCTGAGTCTGTAGAGCCAGATGGAAGACTGTGACTTTTATTTTGTCTTGTAGCCAATAGTTGAGAAATTGACATGGTCACAGTTGTCTACTGGGAATAGGCTAGCCTGGTGACACCTGGGAACAGAACCTTCTAGGAAGGAAATGAGAGCTTGAGCTGGGGCAGGGGCAGGGCATGTCTAAGGAAAAGCCTCCTAGCAGGAATCTGGGGCTTTTGCAGCTACACGGAGGTGGCTAACAATGTGCAGAAGGAGGAGACGGTCCTCAACATTCAGTTTGTACTGCTGGACTGTTCACACCTCAAGTTCTCATTGGTGCAGCACTGCAACGAGTGGCAGAACAAGTTCACGACTCTGCTCAAGGAGATGGCTGCTGGGCGCCTGCTGGAGCTGCATACCTACCTGAAGGAGAACGCTGAGAATACACGGAGGTGGCTAACAATGTGCAGAAGGAGGAGACGGTCCTCAACATTCAGTTTGTACTGCTGGACTGTTCACACCTCAAGTTCTCATTGGTGCAGCACTGCAACGAGTGGCAGAACAAGTTCACGACTCTGCTCAAGGAGATGGCTGCTGGGCGCCTGCTGGAGCTGCATACCTACCTGAAGGAGAACGCTGAGAAGTAAGACGTAGTGTGTGTGTGTGTGTGTGTGTGTGTGTGTGTGTGTGTGCGCGTGTGCGCGTGTGCGTGTGTGTGTGTGTGTGTGTGTGTGTATGCTTTCCACCTGCAGCACTCTCTTTACTGACTTTTAGAATCAACTGCCCTCCCCAGACGCTGGAGGAACTGGGGGTCAGTTTGCAGCTCATGGATACCTTGCAGCATAATTTGCCCAGCCTGGAGACTCAGATCCCTCCCATTCATGAGCAGTTTGCCATTCTGGAGAAGTATGAAGTGCAGGTTCCGGACAGTGTAAGTTCCAGCAGTGTTTGGTCTACCCCACACCCTTCTCTGGCCCATAACATTTGTGACAGACTGTGGAGGACCTTGTGCCATCAGGGGTGAAGCAGAGAAGCAACAGAGATTCAGAAGCTCCTGAGAGTCAACACTAATTCTGGTGATACTTCTCAGCTTATGGGTTTCTTTTAGGCCCAGCAACTTGCTGCTTGATTTCTGGAGGGAGTGGGGGCTTCATCTGCTCATACATGAACTCTGGTCTGGAGGAGCAGAAAAAGGTGCTTAGAAGTATTGGTGAAGAGCAGGGGTGTGGCTCAATGGCCAGTGCTTGCCTGGCATGGAATGTTCTGAGTTCCATCCCCCCAGCTTTGCTGAGGACAGACCTCATGCTTGTGAGTCAGGTCATTCTGCTTTCTCTCCCAGGTATTGGAGATGCTGGACAGCCTCAATGGGGAGTGGGTCACCTTCCAACAAGTACTGCTGGACAGTGAGCAAATGTTGAAGAAACACAAAGAGAAATTCAAGACTGGCCTTATTCACTCTGCTGATGAGTTCAAGAAGAAGGCACACAACCTCCTGGAAGATTTTGAACTCAAAGGTACTCCTTGCTCCCAGTCTCTCTCCTTTAGCCTTTGCTTTGTGATTATTCTGCATTCAAAAATGTTGTTCTGTGAAGGGGAAAACTACATGGGAGGGGGAAGGGCAGTGGTGGGAAGGGAAGGAGCAGTGGCACCCAGAGCTTCTGCCAGGAACACAGGATGAGTTGGGCCATAGTCACAGCTTTCTGATTGGAAGGCTGCGGGCTGCAACATCCCCAGTGCTCTGGCTCCGACTTCCTGTCTTCCATTTCTGACTCTCCAGCCATGTTCGGCAGTCTACAGTAAGATTGCGCATTACTCTCCCCACACCCCACCCCCTCTTCTTCTCCTTCCCGCTCTCATCTGAGGGGAGAGGTAAGATTTACCCACCAAGAGGTTCCCATAGGCCGTCCTTCGAAGAGCCCGTGGACTGAGTTGCACCCTGAACTCCTGCAGGGCCTTTCATCAGTGGCGTGGGCCACACGGCTGCACTGGATCAGATAGCGCAGGTGCGGGCCATGCTGAATGCCATGCGGGAGGAAGAGAACAGTCTCCGTGCCAACCTGGGCATCTTCAAGATTGAGCAGCCCGTCTCCAAGGACCTTCAGAACCTGGAGAAGGTTGTGTGCTGGGCTGGGCCCCGTGGCAACCAGGGAGAAGCACAGGGACAGGCCAATAACAACTCAGGGCTTAGAAACAGCAGGACCAGGCAGATGAGGTCAGGTGCAGCTTCCCGGGTTTTTTTTTTTTTAAACTGAACAGATCAACCGTTTTAAAGCAAACAATTCAGTGGCACGTAGGGTATTCCCAGTGCTGCATCGCTCTCGATTCTCCCTTAGTGAGATGGCTCAGCCAGTAAAGTACCTCCTGGGCAAGCCTGACTCCTTGAGCACAATCCCAAGAACTCTGTAAAGGTAGAAGGAGAGAACTGACTCCATAAAGTTGTCCTCTAACCTGTGCATGCATACTCACACCTCACACATAAATATGAAAAAATTTAAATATTCTAAAAGATCATTTTCATACTCCAACTACTCCAACAGATCATTTTCCCATCAGCAGACACCTTCCATTCTGTCTCCCCCAACCACTTGCCATTTATTAATCTATTTTCCATGTATATGGATTTGTCCATCCTTGATATTTCTATAAATGGAACCAAGTAATACATGGCCTTTTGTTTCTGATTTCATTCATTCAGCACAGTGTTTTCAAAGTTCGTCCATGTTGTAGCATGTATCAGTAGTACTCCATTCCTTTTTATGGCTGAATAATATTCCATAATTTTTATTTCCATTTTTTTCACCCATTCACCAGCTATGGGCAGTTGGGTTGTTTCTGCCTTTCCATTGTACTGGAGTAGTGTTGCTATGAACTTGAGTGTACTTGTGTTTGTTTGAACACCTGTTCCTAATTCTCATGGGTGTAAACCAGCAATAAAATTGCTGGATCATATGGCAACTCTATGTCTGTTTTTGAAGCACTGCCAAGCTATTTTCCACAGCAGCTGTGCCATTTTCTATTCCCACTGGCAGTGCATGAGGACGCTGAATTTTTTTTTTTTTCTCGGTATCCTTGCCAACACTTGTTTTCCTTAAAAAAAAATTTTTTTTTGAGATCTTTCCTCCTAGTGGGTGTGAGATGATATCTCCCTGAGGTTCTAATTGGCATTTGCCTAATGACTAATGATGCTGAGGCACTTCTCCTGGGCTTATCATTCAATGAATCCTTAAGGCAAAAGTATGGAGTAGGGATGTGAACAAAAGGTAGCACCGTCACCCAAGGAGAATGAGAGGAACTAAGGGACCCTAGTGACCATCAGGAAGAGGGCAGGGGCTGCAGTATCTAAGGTGCCTTTGTCATGTCTTCCTGCTTTTTCCTGTTCAGGAGCTTGATGCGCTCCAGCAAGTGTGGGAGATCACTCGGGACTGGGAGGAGAGCTGGAACCAGTGGAAGACTGGCTGTTTCCTGACCCTACAGACCGAGGCCATGGAGACCATGGCGCATGGACTGTTCCGTCGTCTCACAAGACTAGCCAAAGAGTATAAGGTGTGTGAGATGGAATGGGAGGTGCAAGATGACGCTGACCCAGCTGAGGGGGTGGGTGGTCCTGAGGGTGAACGGGTCTCCTGATGCCTCTCACTTTTGCTTAGGACCGAAACTGGGAAATTATTGAATCCACTCGCTCCAAAATAGAGCAGTTCAAGAGGACCATGCCGCTCATCTCAGACCTGTGGAACCCTGCCCTCAGAGAGAGGTGAGGCTGCACCTCCACCCTGGAGCCAGCCATTCTCCTCTCCAGTTCATGCCTCTTCTGATTCTTTCAGTTCTCCCCCCACAGCGCTCAGAGCTTTCTCTTTCCCTCTGTCCTCATGCATGCTTAACATTTGTGCCACTAGTGCACCAGTGGATATATATTGCCAGGCTGCTTGTTATTGTAGCTTCAGTTTTAAATATTATTTGTTGAGGTTCTGGGGATGGAACTCAGGGTAATACTAGGTAACTACCACTCAACTACATCCCAGGCCCCCAAACAAATTCATTTCTTTTTTTTTCCATATGTATGTGGTGTGTGTATGCATGTGTGCATGAGTTTTTATAGGAGTATGCATGTACAAGTATTGAAGTTGACATTGAGTGTCTCCCTTGATCATTCTCCACTTTATTTATTGAGACAGGATCTCTCCTTTTTTTTTTTTTTTTTTTGGTTTTTTTTGAAACAGGGTCTCCCTGTAGCCCCAGCTGTCCTGGAACTCACTATGGAGACCAGGCTGGCCTTGAACTCACAGAGATCCGCCTGCCTCTGCTTCCTGAGTGCTGGGATTAAAGGCGTGCACCACCACGCCCGGCCAGGGATCTCTTTTTTATATTTATTTTTTTCTGGAAATCTTTTATTTTTATTAATTCTTTGAGAATATCATACAGTGTATTTTGATCTTATTCACCCTCACCCCAGCTCCTCCCAGATCCAACCCCTTCCCTACCCACCCAGCTTGGTGTCCTCCTTTTTTAAAAATATTTTATTTATTATTTTTGTATGTATTATGTATATGAGTGTATTGCTTGTATGTATGTGAGTGCACCCATTGCAATGCCGCAGAGGTCAGAAGAGGGCTTTGGATTCCCCTGGAACTGGAGTTAAGGACAGTTCATAGCTGCCATGTGGGAATCAAACCGAACTCACACAGATCCACCACCTGTCTCTGCCTCCCGACCTCCTTTTTTTTTTTTTTTTTTAAAAAAACCATAGAGTCCAACTTGTGCTGCTCATATACTCGGGTGTGTGGCCATCCACTGGATAGTAGTTAACCTACCAGGGGCCACACCCTTAAAGAAAACTGACTCTCCTTCTCCCAGCAACTAACAGTTACCAATAGCTTCTCAGCTAGGGATGGGGCTCTGTTCCCACCTCCCTGCTCCATGCTGGGATTCTGTCTGACTTGAACTTGTTCAGGTCTTGTGCATGCTGTCACAGCTGCTATGAGTTCATATGTGTAGCTGCCCTGTTGTGCCTGGAAAACAGTGTTTTGTTGTAATCATCCACCACCTCTGACTCTTACAACCTTTCCATCCACTCTTCTAAGATGATCCCTGAGCCTTAGGAGGAAGGGGTGTGATATAGATGTCTCATATAGGGCCGAGTATTCCACAGTCTTTTATTCTCTGCACCTTGACCAGTTGTGGGTTCCTTTGTTAATTGCTGTCTACCATAAAAAAGAAGCTTCTCTGATGAGGTTTGAGAGATGCACTAGTCTATGAGTATTAGTCATTAGGAGTTGGTTTAATACTAGGTCCATTTAGCAGAATAACAGTAGTAGATTCTCTCTTAGGGCCTATGACCTGTCTAGACACAGATTCTTGACTCTGATAATGGTGTCAGGTATGAGTCCCATTTTGTGGAGTGGGCCTTAAATCCAATCAAAGTGGTAGGTTACTCCTGTGTCATTTGTGCCACTATGGCACCAGTGAGCGTATATTGCCAGGCTCGTTGTTACCGTAGCTCAAAGGATTCACAGCTAGGCAAGATTGATGACTACTGTTCTCTGGTAGCATGCATAGCACTTTCCAGCACTATGAAAGGAGGCAGGATCTAGAGCTGAACCTAAAGCTCACCAATTTCAGCTAGCCAGCTTGTCTCACTGAGTCCCTATCTCTGCCTCCCATGTCCTAGGATTATGGGCACCTGCTAAACCTGCCCAAATTTATGTGGGTTCTGGGAATTTGAATCCTGGTGTTCACCCTTGCACAGCAAGCACTTTTATCTAATGTACCATCTCCCTAGCCTGTATTTCTAGGGATTGATCTGAGGGTCTTGAGAATGCTAACACTGCACCAGCTACATCGCTAGCCCTAATTTAAAAATTTTTATTAAAACTTGCACTTTGCATTACATTTATTTGTTTATTTATTGTGTGTGTTCAAACGTGTGCATGAAAGTGCATATGCCATAGCTCCTGTGTGGTCAGAAGACAACTTTTGGGAGTCAGTTCTTTCCCTCCACCATGTGGGTCCTGGGAATCAAACTCAGATTGTCAGGCTTGGCAGAAAAAGCCTTGTACCTGCTGAATGAACCATTTTGATGACCCTCAATTTTTTGGGGGGGGGTCTTTCTTTTTGAGACAGGGTCTCCCAGTAGCCCCAGCTGGCCTGGAACTCACTATGGAGACCAGGCTGGCCTTGAACTCACAGAGATCTGCCTGCCTCTGCCTCCCAAATGCTGGGATTAAAGGCGTGTGCCACCACGCCCGGCCAAATTTATTTTTTAACTGACAGAATGGCATTTATTTATAATGTACAACATGATGTTTTGAAGGGTGTATATGTTGTGGAAGAGCTACATTAAGTGAATTAACTTCTGTATCACCTCACATACTTTGTGTGTGTGTGTGTGTGTGTGTGTGTGAGAACATTTGAAATTTGTGTGTGGGGGGGTGTATACATGTGTGTACATGTATGTGGGTGGGTGCATGTACCTGTGTATATGTGTGTGAAGGCCAGAGGAGGATCAAGTGTCGTCCTCTGTCTCTTTGCCTTATTTCATTGAGATACAGTCTCTTACTGAACTTGAAGCTCACCATTTTTTTGGCTAGGCTCGCAGGCTATCAGACCCTAGTCATCCTCTTGTCTCCTCCTTCCTGACTCCCCAGTGTTGGGCTTACAGGCACACTTAGTCATGTCCAACTTTTTACATGGTTGCTGGGTTCTGAACTCAGTTCCTCATGCTTGCACTAAAGTGCTCTTACCCACTGAGCCATCTCTCCAGATCTTAAATTTTATTCCTAGTTATTTTCCTGTACATAATACATTGGTACCAGTTACAGTTACCGTGTTATACAGTGGATCTCTTGAACTTATTCCTTACGTCTAGCAACTCTGTCCTACTGCAACACCTGGAAATTACCATTCTCCTTTCTGCTTCTAAGAGTTGACTTTTTAGATTATATATGTAAATGAGGTCATGAAAGGTTTGTCTTCATGTGCTGGCTTATTTCACTTAACATAAAGTCTTCCACATTCATCAAAGCTGTTGAAAATGATAGGCTTTCCTCCTCCTCTTCCTCCTACTTTTCCTCTTTCTTTTGAGACAGGGTCTCACTATGTTGTCTTGGCTGGCCTGAACTTGCTATGAAGACCTAGTTGGCTTTGAACTCACAGAGATCCTTCTGCGTATGCTCCCTAGTTCTGGGATTAAAGGACTGTGCCACCACACCTGGCCTTTTCTTTTTCTTTTTTTTTTTTTGTCTTTTTTGAGACAGGGTCTCTCTGTAACCACAGCTGACCTGGAATTCGCTATGTAGACCAGGCTGGCCTCAATCTCACAGAGATCTATCTGCTCTGCCTCCCGAGTGCTGGGATTAAAGGACTTCGCCACCACACTGGCTTTTTTTCTTTTTTTAGAAGGCTGAATGGTACACTCCATCATGTGTACATACCACATTTTCCTTCTCCATTCAGTGGTTGGTTACATCCACACCTTGGCTGTTGTAATACAACACTGCCACTGTCTTCTGCTTTTTGCCCTGTCCTGAGTCTCTGCTCAGTTTCCTGGTACCTCGCTCTCTTGCCTTCAGCTTTAAGTTACCTAATGTGGCTAAGCTTTATGTTTTTATGTCATGCAAAAGGTTTTCTTTTGATGTAGCCAAAATGGTTTTTGCTTTTGTGCCTAGTTTAAGAAAACTTTCCCTGTTCCAAAGTTACAAACACATTTTCTCCATTCTTCTAATACTGTGTAATTTTCAAGTTTAATTCCTTTAGTGCACCTGGAATGTATTATATGATAGAGGAATTATGTTAAGCAATTGGGAACTAAATAAATTACTTTGTAAATGGTATTTAAATCATTAACCATTTAGGGGAAAATGATTTTACTTTTGCATGCCTCCAGTGTAGTGTTTTTGGCAAAGTTTTATCCTTAAGTGTTACGTGGGTAAGTCTAACCTAACCCCTTTATTTACTTAAGTTATTTAACCTCTCTAAGCCTAAGTTTCTTCACCTCTAAATGGAATAATAGTACTTCACAAAATGGAATGCTAATGACAATTAAATACAGCATTTCATGTAAAGCACTTTGCCCAGGGCATATCTATCACAACCTTGCACTAATTTATTAAGTGTTTTGAACTGTATGTGCACATGCCTTAACTCCCACTCTTGGAGAGTGATGTAACAATCTTTGTATTCCTCCATGGTGCTGAATCATGAATTAATAAATACCCAAAATTATAATATATCTTATAATGTTCCAATGGGAAGAAGCACAGAGTGATTTTTTTTTTCGAGACAGGGTTTTGCTATGTAGCACTGACTGGCCTGGAACTCACTATGTAGACCAAGCTGGCCTTGAACTCACAGAAATCTGCCTGCCTCTGCCTCCCAAGTGCTGGGATTAAAGGCTTGCGCCACCATGCCTTTTTTTTTAAAAACAAAACAAAACAAAACAAAAAAACCCCAAAAAAACTGTTGTGTATGGAACACAGACTCTCACAAATGCTAATCTATCACTGAGCCACATACCCCAGACCCAGGGAGTAATGATAACATTTGCTAGTAGGCCCTGGAGACTGGTCTCCTGGTCAGACTTCCTGTTCTGGGTTGCAGGCACTGGGACCAGGTCAAGGATGAAGTTCAACAGGAGTTTGATCAGGAATCAGAAAGCTTCACCTTGGAGCAGATTGTGCAACTTGGGATGGATCAGCACGTGGAGAAGATTGCGGAGATCTCTGCCTCAGCAACCAAAGAGCTGACTATAGAATTGGTATGATGACATCCAGCTGTCCCACATTTGAGAGACCCTCCAAACTCCTCTTCCCTTTGAGGACTAGATACCTGATTACTCTATCTCCAATTTCTCTTCATAGGGATTACAAAACATTGCCAGTACCTGGGATATGATTCAGCTAGACATAGTACCCTACAAGGACAAAGGCCATCACAGGCTCAGGTAGAGAGGGACTGGGGCTCCAGGAGAGGGTAGGATATGTGACCTAGGCTGTAGACTGGGGCTGAGGTTGGCAGATGGATATGGACAATGACTTTGAGCCCTTGTGCCCCAGAGGTACAGAAGAAGTATTCCAGGCCCTGGAAGACAACCAGGTGGCTCTGTCAACCATGAAGGCATCACGTTTTGTCAAGGCTTTTGAGAAGGATGTGGACCACTGGGAGCGCTGTCTCTCCCTCATTTTGGAGGTTATTGAGATGGTACTCACAGTGCAACGTCAGTGGATGTACCTAGAGGTCAGTATCAGTCAATGTCTGACCTCTCTCTGCTTCTTGCTTCTACTGCTTTGTGTGCTTAGGACCTAGATATTTGCCTTCTCTGTGCCATTTTCCCACCTTCCTCTGGGACCCAGATTTCTGACTCTTATCTATATACCTTAAATCCCCTCTGTGGAAAGCCTTTCCAGATTCCACTTTTCCTCTAGAGCTCAATCCTGACTTCCCAATCTCAACTTTCCTTCTAGACCATGGGCATCTTGCTACTGGTTTCTAATGTTCTGACACTTTGACTTAGTGTCATCCTTGGTCTGGGAGCAGGGAGCAGAGGGTCAAGAATGTGTAAGAAATAGCCTCTTACCCCAACTCTGTGGCCCCCTCAGAACATCTTTCTTGGAGAAGACATCCGCAGACAACTGCCCAATGAGTCAACCCTATTTGACCAGGTCAACAACAGCTGGAAGTGCATCATGGACCGGATGAGCAAGGACAATAATGCTCTCCAGAGCACCCACTACCCAGGTGAGAGTTCCTTGGGCAATTGCCTGACACAGGGGCCATTGCTTTTATGCAAATGTGGCGTTATGCTTCATTTATTAAAAGGTCATATCATTAGTATTATTATTAATATTTACAATTATTCCTACTGTTTGTAGTAACATTACTACTTGGTAAAATTTGGTAATATTAATAATATTACCTGTTTTTATAGCTGGCTGTTATAATACTTCCTGTCCTAGTTTGTTTCTTCATTGCTGTGACAAAACACTCTGACCACTACCAACTTGGGGAGGAAAGGGTTTATTTATCTTACATCTCCCAGGTCACAGTTCATCAGGGAGCCCAAGGTAGGAACTCAGGGCAGGAACCTGGAGGCAGGAGCTGGAGCACAGGCCATGGAGGAACACTGCTTACTGGCTTGTTCCCCTGGCCCCTGCTCAGCCTGCTTTCTTATGCAGCACAGGCCCACCTGCCCGGGGTGGCACCGCCCATAGCAGGCTGGACCCTCCCACATCACTCAACAATCAAGAAGATGCTCCATAGACATGGCAGCAGGCCAATTCAATAGAGGCAATTCCCCAGTTGAGGCGTCTTCAACCCAGATGTGTCAAGTTGACACTAAAGCTATCCAGCACACTTCCCATCACCAGTGCTTCTTTGGAGCTTTAAATAATAGTTCAGTAAATCAAATTCAACAGATACTGAGGTGGAGTATAACATAGTGGTTTGAAGCATGGGATATGGTATCAGTCTTGGGTTCAGAATCTGATATAGCCTTTATTACATGCTCTTGGTAGCTTGCTCTCTCCACACTCCAGTTCCTGCATCTGTCCTTGGGGTAATTGATAGCATCTCATCGGGTTTCTGTAAGGATTATCAAGGAGAATGTGACTCTCAAGTTTAGTAGGGAGGGCTGGATTAATAGCACTGGTCTCGGCAAGCCCTGGCTGCAAACTGCTCTTCTTCCCTAGCCACGTACTCCAGTGAGTGCATTCAGTGAAATGAGCTAGGAAAATGAAATGAAACCAGACAAACGAAGCGCTTGTCACATAACACGATGCACTGGGAGCCCTGGTCATTGTTAGCTACACCTGATATTACATTGACTTCAGTTTATCTGATTAACTTTTTTGTTTGTTGGTTTGGAGACAAGGTCTGTCCATAGCTACAGTTAGCCTGGAACTCACTATGTAGATCAGTCTAGCATGGATCTCACAGAGATCTGCCTGCCTCTGCCTCCTGAATGCAGGGGCCAAAGGCATGCACCACCATGCCTGACAACTGCTATTGAGTATAGATTCTTTGACAGGTATGGGGACTAAGTAGAGGGTGAAGAAGAAAGGGCTTAGGGGAGATATGTATACATGGCCTAGGCCTGGCCGTTTGGGCTAGATGAGGTTAAAGAATCAGTCATGTTGGTAAGGTGCACCTAAAATGATGGATATCCTAGAGTTCCAGCAAGTCACAGTATGGAGGATTTTTCTTACTTCTGCCTATGGCTAGTCAAGTTCTTTATTTTCCCAAGACTCTTGAGTGCACACATTCAAACAATGATTTTAATTACTCTCATAAAATGTAAATCAATGGCATACAGGGCTAGGGGTTGTAGTTCACTTAGAGTGCTCACCTAGTGTGAGCAAAGGCTGGGTTTGATCCCCAGCACGACATTTGTAATCTCAGCACTTGGGAGGTAGAGACAGGAGAATTGAGTTAAGGTCATCCTCAGCTACACAGTGAGTTTGAGGTTAGTTTGGGCTACCTGGGACTGTGCCTAAACAGCAGCAACAACAACTAAACTATAGGCAAGACTGAGTAATAACTGATAATAATTTGAAGTAATTAACAAAATTGTATTTTGGAATAATGTGTAAGCAAAGCTATAAAAACAGTGTAAAAACATTGTTTAATACAGAGAACAAATACTTGGTCCACAGCTACTGAGTCTTCCTGTAACCTGTAGGTTCACTCAAAGTCACCCAAAGATGCCAACAGCTTGTACACTAGACAAGTTTGAAGGCATGACGTTGCCGCAGAGTTCACACTCCAAGCACTGGCACTTTCTTTCAAAGGCCCCAAAACTAGGAAGACATGGGGGAAAAAAGCCTAAGGGGTAGGGATGTAGACTAGAAGGAAACAGACTTCTGGGAACTTACAGATGTGAATCTTGAATTGGTCTTTGTAGTAGATCTTATTGCCATTTTAAAAGAGGTCAAAATTCAGTGGGGTCAATTAACAGGAGAGTAAGTGAAAGAACTATTAGAGTGAGGACCTTCTGTCTGCTGGTCAAGTGCCCTCCATGCTGTGTCATGAAGGACACTGTCAACTCCAGTGCTGACAGACCACTTTCATTGTGTGCATGTGATATGTCTTTAAGTCTAATGATTTAGCTTGTTGGATTGTGTAAGCTGCAGAACAGTCTCTAATTTTTAGACACCTCTTGGGTTGAACAGTGAAGTTTCAAGTTCTTAGGTGTAATGGGGCTGCTGTTCCAAAGACTGGTGAGAGGTAGAGCTAAATTAATGAAGCCATATACAATGTATAATTCATAATGTATAAGGTGTCCATATATAACAATGTGGGGTGAATGAACAGAGTGAGTAGTTAAGTACAACAGAAGGACTGGGAATACTTATTGCCTCCAAAAACCCTTATGACAGTTTGTATCCCAGACCCAAGAGCTGGTGATGTGAGTAGACCTGGGGCTCTGGGACTCTCAGGACAATGGTGAAAAGGCAGTCAAATCCCATTCATTACTCTTCTTCCCAGATCTCCTGGACACATTGATAGAAATGAATGCAATCCTGGAGGACATTCAGAAGTCTCTGGACATGTACTTAGAGACCAAGCGCCATATATTTCCCCGCTTCTACTTCTTGTCCAATGATGACCTGCTGGAGATTCTGGGCCAGTCCCGCAACCCAGAGGCTGTGCAGCCACACCTTAAAAAATGTTTTGACAACATCAAATTACTGAGAATCCAAAAGGTCAGCAGAGGTAGCCATGATGGGAAGGAGGGCAGGGAAGGAAAAGTGGTGTCCAAGTATCCGAGGCTGTGGAGGGGATCACACTCTCCTGGAAGGAGGTGGTATTAATGATTGAGCCTCACAAGATGGAACTTTTCAGAACTGGTAATGCTGAGAGGAGGAAAAGGAGAAGAGATTACCTCTAAAAGGCTCAGATACTTCTAGGGAGTTACCATGAGTGAGGCTAGTGCCTGCTTCTCTCCTACAGGTTGGTGGCACCAGCAGCAAATGGGAAGCAGTGGGCATGTTCTCAGGTGATGGCGAATATATTGATTTCCTCCACCCAGTACTTTTAGAAGGGGCTGTGGAGGTGAGTTGTGGCAAAGGTGTGAGAAGCAAATGGATTCTTCTATTAGAAAGTTCACTTGACTCTGCGAGGAGAGAACATTTCTGTGAAGGGAGATGAGTTAGTTTCCCAGTTGCTACTTCCTCATTCATTTGCCATCATTCTTTAAAAAAATATTTTATTTATTATTTTTAATTAATTAATTAATTCATTCATTCATTCATTTATTTTTGGTCTTTTTGAGACAGGGTCTCTCTATAGCCCCAGTTGGCCTGGACCTCACTACGTAGACCAAGCTGGCCTTGGAGGACTCATAGAGATCTGCTTGCCTCTGTCTCCCAAGTGCTGGGATTAAAGGTGTGCGCCACCACGCCCGGCTTATTTTTATATGCATGAATGTGTTGCCTGCATGTAGGTCGGTGCACCCATCAGCCCCACTATTATTTTTTTACACATTGTGAGTGGTTTTTCGTTTGAGACAGGGTCTCTCTATAGCCCCAGTTGGCCTGGACCTCACTACGTAGAACAAGCTGGCCTTGGAGGACTCATAGAGATCTGCTTGCCTCTGTCTCCCAAGTGCTGGGATTAAAGGTGTGCGCCACCACGCCCGGCTTATTTTTATATGCATGAATGTGTTGCCTGCATGTAGGTAGGTGCACCCATCTTGGGCAAGGCCCATGGAAGTCAGAAGAGGGTGTCAGATCCCCTGAAACTGGAGCTACAGATGGAGTTATGATTCACATGTGGGTGCTGGGAATCCAACCCAGGCCCCCTGCAGTAGCAGCCAGTGCTGTCTACCACTGAGCCATCTCTCCAGCCCTCATTTGCCATTGTCAATTACTATAATCTGCTTTAAACTTAAGTTTCCATCTGAAACTTAGCCTTTCTGATTCCTGCCTCCATTTCTTTTGGAGGCCCATGCCAAGAGCTTTCTGACTGTTCTTTCTTTCCTGGGTCCTCAGACCTGCAGTCCTGTTTTCCAAGTACTTTCTTTTGGGAAACCTTGCTTCTGACCCTTAAACTGAGCCTTCACATCCCTTCATTCTCCCTAGTCCTGGCTTGGTGATGTGGAACGGGCCATGAGGATGACCCTGCGGGATCTGCTCCGGAACTGCCGACTGGCCCTCAAGAAGTTCCTCAATAAGAGGGACAAATGGGTGAAGGAATGGGCTGGCCAGGTGAGCTGGGCCAACAAAAATGGGGAATGGTAGAGCTAACAGAGCAGCATGTTGAACGACAAACCCCTAGAGCCTCACAAAATGGAAGTTTCTTGCCCTTCTTTTGGGACTTTGGCTCTTGTACCCTACATGGTAGACCCCACTGTTCCTGATCTGAGGCACATGCTCCATCCTTCAGGTAGATTAGGCATAGTGAACACTGGATTCTGGAAGACACTGGAACTCAGGAGCTGAGCTGTGTTGGTGGCCAAAAGCAGGGTCTAGGAATCAGCCTCTGTACTTCCCTCAGATGGTGATCACCGCTAGTCAGATCCAGTGGACGGCTGATGTCACCAAGTGCTTGATGACAGCTAAGGAGCGGTCAGACAAGAAAATTCTCAAGGTCATGAAGAAGAAGCAGGTGGGGAACTCTTCAAGAATGAGACAGGCCTGGAGCTGGAACTGGTGTGAGGGAGGTGATTGCAATAAGAATTGGAGATGAGCTGGTACAGAATGTCCAGAGCAAGGGTGCTCTGTGATGGAAGTCCAGAGAAGAGCATTGGAATTGAGCAGAATTAGGTTTCCCTATGTGGACATTGGGTGCAAGAGTCTATAGGGGGATTGGTATGGGGTTGGAGGGGACATCAGGCTGGGATGAGGTATCATTCATCTTCAGCTACCTTGCTCCATCTGTTCATCACTGTTGCCTCATTCACAGGTGTCAATTCTAAATAAGTATTCAGAAACCATCAAGGGGAACTTGACCAAGATCATGAGGCTTAAAATTGTGGCTCTGGTGACTATAGAAATTCATGCACGTGATGTGTTGGAGAAGCTTTATAAGAGTGGCCTCTTGGATGTCAATTCCTTTGACTGGCTCAGCCAACTTCGGTTCTACTGGGAGAAGGTGTCAGATGGGTCATCTCCCTACTTTCTTAGTCCCAAACTGACCCTTAGTGCTTTGAATTCATGTTTTCCTCCCCTTTTTCCTTTCCTTTCTTTCTTTTTAAATTATTTATTTAATTTTTTTTTGGGAGACTGGGTCTTCCTGGATTCCAGGAAGGGACCTTGGAACTCGCTTTGTAGATCAGGCTGGCCTCTTATCGCACCTGCCTTTGTTTCCAGTGTGCTGTGATTAAGGGCATGGGCCACCAAGACCAGTCCTTGCACCAAGGCTGGTTTATTTTATTTTATTTGTCTTTTTGAGACAGAGTCTCTCTGTAGCCCCAACTGGCCTGGAACTCACTATGTAGACCAGGCTGGCCTTGAACTCAGAGATACACCTGCCTCTGTGTCCTGAGTGCTGGGATTAAAGGCGTGTGCCACAATGCCTGGCTCTGATTTATTTGTTTTTATTTAATAATAGAAAAATTCTTGTTTTTTGAGACAAGATCTGTCTCATGCATCCCAGCCAGCCTGACCTAAATCTCCTGCCTCCACCTCAGAATTTTCAGAATTAAGATAGATAGGAATATTTTACAGAGGTATATTGCTATTTGGCAGGATTCCATTTGCATGGCAAGGACAGTTGCTTCTGGGAGAACTGACTTGGAAGCTCCCCTCCCTCCCCCACACTGCTATCAAGGGTCAGAGCGGTCCACTCAGAGAGGCTTAAAATTCAATGCAGGCACACAAGCAAGCACACAGGCACACAAGGCCAGCACTCTGTCTCTGAGCTATAAAGTGGCAGTAAAGTAACCTGCTTTCCTATATTTCAGGCTGAGAACCGTCTTCTTTTCGGCCTCATCCTTGGGCACTGGGAGATTTTAAATTCATGTTCTTTAAATATGATAATACTCTAACCCAATCCTTAGCCCTTTCACAGTTTCCTTCTCCCAGTTTAACTCTGTCTCACTTCCCAATTCAGGGGTGGCAAATACGTTATTCAGTACTCTCTATGGGTATCACTCAGTGTTGACTCAGAGTCCAGGCACCTGTTGCCATGGATCAAGGGAACATGCAGTATAGAACCCATTTTTCTATCTTGGCTCTAAGTCATCTCCTCCTTCTAATGCTAAAACAGAACCCCTAATCTACCTGCACCCCCTTCCTCATGTCTCTGAGTCCTACTGGTGGTTATTTATACAGCTCTATTCTTCCTTACAAGCCCACTCTGTCTCACTCTGCCCTGTTTCCCTAGGATCCTGATGATTGTACAATCCGCCAGACCAACACACAATTCCAATATGGTTATGAGTACCTGGGGAACTCTGGACGGCTAGTCATCACTCCCCTGACAGACAGGTCTGCTGTGGGGGATGAACAGGTGATTGGGTTGGGGCTGAAGAGCTGACAGTCTTCTGAGAGTCTGACCTAAGTCATGTTCAATCCTCAGGTGTTACATGACACTGACCACAGCGCTGCACCTGCATCGAGGGGGCTCCCCCAAAGGCCCGGCAGGCACTGGAAAGACAGAGACAGTCAAGGACCTGGGCAAGGCCCTGGGTATATATGTCATTGTGGTCAACTGTTCAGAGGGCCTGGACTATAAGTCCATGGGCCGAATGTACTCAGGCCTGGCACAGGTCAGTGACCTACACTCTGTTGTAAAGGTTCTTTACGTAGCTTTTAGTCCCAGAAAGTCAATCAGAACCCAGATCTGGTTCATCCTGTGTAGCGTACAGCATCATCTTACCTCAGGTAATTCTTATGCTCAGAGTAAAGAGATGAGACCCCTTCACCTCCCTGTGTTTCATACTGCTTGCTTGCAAGCTCATATTATGTAAGGGTTAGATTAGATCATGTACAGAAACTGCCTGGCACACAGGAGATACACATTGCACAAAGTGTCCAACTCACAGGGCTTTTTTTGCCAACACCCTTGGCTGTCCTGTCTGGTGGAAACCTCTGGACAGAAGCTATGACAATATTACTACAGTTCTCTCTTACACCTCCTATTTTGTAGGTCACCTTTCCTACCAAAACATTTTCAGGAGGAGTGTGTTAATCATGGGTTCTAGCATCTTGGGATACCTCCCTTGCTCCCAGGAACTCTGCTCTCTCTCCCTCTCTCCTCAGACTGGAGCCTGGGGCTGCTTTGATGAGTTTAACCGCATCAACATTGAGGTCCTGTCGGTGGTGGCCCAGCAGATTCTGTCCATCCTATCTGCCTTGGCTGCCAACCTCACTCGTTTCCATTTTGAGGGATTTGAAATAAATCTGGTGTGGTCTTGTGGGATCTTCATTACCATGAATCCTGGTAGGTGGCAGGGAGAGGGGAATGGAGTGTCCATCATAAGTAATTGTGTCCTTTCTTCTTTTCCTTTCTGTACCAAAGTGTTTAGCCAAGAAATATCTGACTAAAGACAACTCTGATAGGCCATTTTCCATTGCTATGACAAAAACCCAGGAAAAATTTAGCTTAAAGGAGGAAAGATTCATTTTAGTCAGAGGTTTCAATCTGTGGTCTATTTCTTCTTGGTTTTGTGGTGAGGAAGAACATCATGAAGGGGACTATGAAGAGGGAGAGACATGATGAAGGAGGAAGAAAAAGAAAGGGGGAAAGAGAGAGAAGGAGAGGAAGGGGGAGGAGATTGACTCATGGGTATGCTCTAACAATCAATCTTCTTCCTTCAACTAGACCCTACCTTGTGAAGTTTCCACTGTCTCCCAGTAGCCCAGTAAGCTATAATCTATGGATAAACAGTCCACTGATGAGGTCCCAGCCCTCACGATCCACTCATTACCAAAAGGTTCCACCTCTGAACATCTTTGCATTTAGGAACAAAGCCTTTAGGGGACATTTAAGATTTAAATTTTAACAACAAAAGCAAGAGAAGGAGAAACATACAAGTTTTGGGGAGAAGAGGAAGCACACTTACTGCTCTCCCTGAAGGGTTCAATAACCACTTACATGTCTATGTGTAGCCCTAGTGTTGTAAGGCTTAGTCACCTTCTCCCAATACGCTACCTACCTCTCTGTTCTACCTTTTATCCCTTTTGCAGAATGAGAGATCCCTAATGTGCAGGATTTTGAGGTCCATTTCTGCACTAGGAACAGCTGTGGGGGAAGGGAGTAGGAGACCAGAGACATAGGAAAGCATTTAGATTGTGAAAGAATCAGAGGAACAGCTGTGATTTCTATTAGGACTTGTGTGGGCTATACATAGAACTTGGGAAAATAAGCAGCTCTGTGACTTCAGTTTGAAACAGTCATGAAGAAAGTAAGGAAGACACAGATGAAGGGGGAGACATGGGGCTGGGAAGAGCCAGGGCTGAGATGAGGAAGGAAGCAATCTTGGAGTTGGATTTGGGGAGAACTTGGGGATAGATTGTTTGGGGAAGCATGTCAAGATAGAGACATCCAGGGATTCTAAATAAAAGGCATTGTTTTCCAGGCTATGCTGGTCGCACAGAGCTCCCTGAAAATCTTAAATCCATGTTTCGTCCAATTGCCATGGTGGTGCCTGATTCTACCCTTATTGCAGAAATTATTCTCTTTGGGGAGGGCTTTGGCAACTGCAAGGTATTCTGATAATCCATTCCCTCCAATTATTTTATTTCCCTTCCACAATTACTCCCTGGATAGAGGAGCTCCCTCAAGGCCTCATAATCAGTTTATCCTACAAGGAACTTAGACTATGGAGGAGGCTATGGCACCAGAATAGTTCAAAGGAGGGATCATCTCTCCCATGATGTCACTAACTGACACTAGAACAAGATCTCCTAGATTGTCCACAGATTCTCCCTGATGCCTGAGTCCCTGACCTTCGTTCCTACATCTGTAACTTTCTCTAAATAAAAAGAGATTCATGGGCAGCTGGATTATTTCTCCCCTGTGTGGTTCCCAGATCCTGGCCAAGAAGGTGTATACACTCTACTCACTGGCTGTGCAGCAGCTCTCCAGACAGGACCATTACGACTTCGGCCTGCGCTCCATCACCTCCCTTCTGCGCTATGCTGGCAAGAAGCGCCGCCTGCAGCCAGATCTGGCGGATGAAGAGGTAGACCAGAGACATAGCCCTTGAACCCTTGTCTCCTTGTTCCTGATCCCATCTCTCTTCATGGAAGTTTTCCAGCCCCCTTCCATCTCCAAACTGGGATGTCCCCCCCAGGTCCCCTGTGTTACCTGTCCATTGCTGAGGACTAACCCTGGCCTATCCTTTGTTCTTAGCTCCTGTTCCTGAGCCCTTTGGAGAAGAAGGGCCTTGTGAGAACCTAGACCCTCACTCCTCAGGTCCAAGTCTCATTTTTTCTCATCTAGGTTCTGCTGCTCTCAATGAGAGACATGAATATTGCCAAGCTAACGTCTGTTGATGTGCCGCTGTTCAATGCCATTGTGCAAGATCTTTTTCCCAACGTTGAGTTGCCAGTCATTGACTATGGCAAGGTATTTGCTATTTTTTTTTAATTTATTTTTTGGTCTTTTTGAGACAGGGTCTCCCTGTAGCCCCAGCTGTCCTGGAACTCACTATGCAGACCAGGTGGTCTTGAACTCACAGAAATCCACCTGCCTCTGCCTCCTGAGTGCTGGGATTAAAGGAGTGTGCTACCACGCCCAGCAGTATTTGCTCTTTTAAAACAACAACAACAGCAACAATAACAATTTTTATTTGTGTGTGTGCACACGGAGGTCAGAGGACAACTTGTGGGAGTTGGTTCTCTCCTTCCACCATATGGGTCCTGAAGATCAAATTCATGTTGTCAGGCTTGTCAGGCCTTTACCCACTGAGCCATCTCCCTGGCCTGGTTTTTGCTCTTTATGCTCCCTGACCTCATATGTGATTGTGTATCTGGGAATGGGAAGGACCTTTTTCAGCCATCCACTGGCTATGACTTTGAGTAAGACAGTTGGCTCTCCCAGGGCTTCCTTATCTAGTATGATAAGGAGATGCTCAGGCATCTTCCTCTTTGACCTGCAGCCCCAGTGTCGTGGCTCAAGTTACTTTTATGCAACACTGAAACTTCAGTTCCATTGGCTATACCCACCAGAACTTTCCTACCTCTGTTCCTCTCCTCACTGTGGGATTTAACAATATTTTATTTATTTTTATTTTATGTATATGCGTGTTATGTCTGCATGTATGTAAGTGCACCCATGTTGTGCAATGCCCATGGAGGTGAGAAGAGGGCGTCAGATCCCCTAGAATTGGAATTAAGGATGGTTGCTAGTCACCATGTGGGTACTGGGAACCAAACCCTGGGAGCCAGATCCTGATCCTCTGCACCAGCGACCAGTGCTCTTAACCACTGGACCATCTCTCCAGCTCCCTGTCTTTGTGGGAATTTTGAGGTGAGACCCTGAGAGCTGTTTGATATGTGAGAGCAGGGAAATGGAGACACAGAAAAGGGATTTCAGAAAATATAAGAGCTTTCTTCTCTGGCATTATGTTAGTCTAGGTACCCTGAGACATCTTTTCAGTTGAAAAACAGTAAAGTGCTGAATAAAACAAAAAAAGAATCTTTTTTAGTGTAGTGCTAAGCTGGCAAGAATTCCAAGGGGCTTGGTGTAGGGAGAATAAGTGAAGGAATTCTGAGGGGTGAGTGGGTTTCAATGCTGTTTTTTCCACAATTTTTTTTCTTTTTTCTTTTTTTGGTCAAACCTAAGGCATTATGGATAGGAAGGAAAGCAACCCATGTCTGGAGGTATAACAGTAAGCCCAGTGCTACTGATACCTCAGTTCATGGGGACAACACCCTCAGTCAACAGGAAAATGTTAACTTGCTGTTTAGAAAGATGTGTTCAGAAAAGAAATGTGCTTGTCTGACCTCTGATGGCAGAAGAGAGGGATAAACTCTTCCTTGAGACCTCTTAAACTAAGCCTTACATGGTTTACAGTCATTATTTATTCTGCTGTGTCATTAAAATCTCTAGCTTAGATGTTCAATTTAGGGAGTTCTAGGTTGTTAGTGCCCCCAGGTGACTGGCAGAAGCAAAAGCAAACATTTCTGGAGGAATGAAACATCATCTTGTGCCTAAAAGAATTAATGCAGAAGAAAAGAAGCAGTAGGAAGCAGGTCCAGAAGGAAGTGAGCTGCATGAATGGAAGCCAGGAAAACAAAGAACAGCAGAGTCACATCTGTGAAAACTTCAGATAGGTTTTTTTTTTTTTTTTTTTTTTTGAGACAGAATCTCCCTGTAGTCCAAGCTGGCCTGGAACTTACTCTGTAGACCAGGCTGGCCTCAGACTCACAGAGATCTGCCTACCTCTGCCTCCCAAGTGCTGAGATTAAAGGCATGCGCCATAATGCCTGGCTAGACTTTGGATAGTTAACTCGAAGTGAAGACTTTAGAAATAACTGTTTAATATGGCCAGAGGAAAAAAAGAGATGCTTGAAGCTGTGAGCCAAGAACAAGAAAGAGACTTTAAGCAAGGCACATTTGAAAAAGAGCAAGCAGATTTTAGAAATATCCAGGCATGATGGTGCGTGCCTATGAGCCCAGCAGTCAGGAAGATGTGGCAAGGGAATTGCTAGGAGCCTGAGGTCAGCCTAAGACACATTGTGAGTGCCAGGCCAGCCAGGTCTACATAGTAAAAAAAAAATTGTAGAAATAAAATATTTTATAATTAGGGAAGAAAAATATCCTCAATAGAGAGATAAAGGCCTTTCATTTAAGGAAAGTAGATTAAAATCCACCACAGCTACACTAAAGAATTGATTTATAAGGCTTACATTTCCAAAGGGATAAGGAGGGTATGAGGTGAGAAGGCTGAATTTTAGTTCTAGGAAGCATTTAGCCAGCCTGAGGAATTTGGAAGTGGGGATCATGGAGAGTTGGCTTTCAGAATGTTCAACATTTGTGGAATCTGGTAGGTCTAAGTTGGGAATAGGCAGGGAAGTGCAGTAAAATAAGGAGGCCAAGAGACAAGCTGAAAGCAGCTAGATCTCAGCAGACATGCGGGCACACACCTGTAATCCCAGCCCTAGGAAGGTAGAGGTAGGAAGATCACCATAAATTTAAAGTCAATCTGTCTGCATAGGAAGTTTGAAGCCAGCTAGGAAGACACTGTCTCAGGAAAAAAAAAAAAAAAAGCAGTTATATCTCTTAAGATCTGGTGTCTCTAATGACCCTGGGTGACTGCCTCCCTACTGGGTAGAGGACTAGAAGGTGAAAACTTGTGTGTTAAGCCTCCAGGACAGGAGGTATGGTGGAATGCAGGAGCAGGCCTTATTAGTGAGGCTTGAGGGAATGTTTACAAATCAAATGCCCACACCCTTTGCCTGCTTTATCTCTCAGCTGGAAGAGTAGTGCCAGCCAGAAAGGAAATTGGAAGAGCTCTCTCTGGGGACTCCTTCTGGTCTAAGAGGAATAACTAAGACATTGTTCTGATAAACTACCTACAGGATCATTCAGTCTGTGAGCCCCACACCCACATTCACACCTTCCATTCAGCTTTTCATCTTCTAAGCTATATATCAACAGAACTTGGGAGGTGGAGGCAGGAGGAACAGGAGTTCAAGGCCAGCCTTGACTATATAGAGAGTTCAAGGACAGCCTGGGCTACATAACAGCTTGTCTTAAAAAAAAGAAAAATCATACACTAACAGAAAACCAAGTCTCACCAGACACCTAGGGGAAATCTCTAGAATGAAAGATAATTGGTTTTAGGGAAGAATATGAGGACAGGTGGGAGAGAAAGAAAGAGAGGGTCACTGAGTCAAATTGTCCCTCAGGTAAGAAATGTATTAACACCACCTGGCCACAGGGCAACAGGGAGTGTGGCAGAGGGATCTGAAGGAAAGTGTCAGCTCAGAGAAAAAAAGCAAGGTGTCTATTTTTTTTTTTTAAAATGTATTGATGCTGGGCATGGTGTAGTCCCAGCACTCTGGAGGCAGAGGCAGGCAGATCTCTGTGAGTTCAAGGCCAGCCTGGTGTACATAGTGAGTTCCAGGACAGCTGGAGCTACAGGGAGACCCTGTCTCAAAAAAAAATGTATTGAATATAACTCACAGCAATGGCATGAGCATGCAAAAGGTGTCTATTTTTTTTTTTTTCGGAGCTGAGGACCTAACCTAGAGCCTTGTACTTGATAGGCAAAGCACTCTACCACTAAGCTAAATCCCCAACCCCAAGGTGTCTGTTTTTAAAGACTGGAGGGAATAGGGGAAGCGGGGCATATATGACTTCTGCTATGTGACAGGAGTTGCTCTTTCTCTGGATAGAGGAGTGGGGCTTGATTTATTTGTGACCCAGACAAGATGATAGTAGTCAGACTACTCCCCATCCCCTGTGGCAGAGAGGCTGAATGTGTTTTGTCCTTCCCATAGCCCTATCTATTTAGGACCTTGTTATCTGGAGGGTCTGAGTTCTCTAACAAAAGAAACCAAAACAAACAGGAAAGAGCAAATTGAAGAAAATAGATAACCCAGAAAGAGCAAACATTAAAGAAAACAACAACAACAACAATAACAACAACAACAACAAAAAAAAAAACAAAAAAAACCTCTGGCTGGGAGTGGTGGGCACACCCAAGAAGCTGAGACAGGATGATTATTTGAGTCTGAGCCAGCCTGAGCAACGAAAGACTCCACCTGGTCTAAAACAATGAGACAACAGATCAGAGAATGAAATCAGAGAATGAAATACTAATAAAATGCTCTTAAAAAAGGACTATTGCAGAAGAGATGGCAGACAAAGGGGGAAAGAGATAAGATTCAAAAGACAATCTTGGAAAGACAATATCCATACAATCCCTAAAGTAGAAACAGAGAAAATGGAGGGAATGGTACCAGTAAGGAAGGAAGCAATTCCAGAGGAATTGAAGGACCAGCATTTCCAAAATGAGTGATGGCTCCAATTCCAGGGAGATCTGATGCCCTCTTCTGACCTCCATGAACATTACATGGTACAGACGCACTTACACGCAGGCAATATATTCACACACATAAAATAAAAATAAGTGTTCACATAAACATGAAGAAAATAAATCCTTATGAAGGCCCCTCATTATGTACCTTTTAAACACAAAATTAGAACAAGGAGAAGTTTTAACAAATTTAGAAAGGAAAAGAAGAGGCAATAGGTAAAAGATAAAAAATAAGGATGTTGGCTGGGCGTGGTGGCGTACACCTTTAATCCCAGCACTTGGGAAGCAGAGGCAGGCAGATCTCTGTGAGTTCAAGGCCAGCCTGGTCTACATAGTGAGTTCCAGGACAGCTGCAGCTACAGGGAGACCCTTGCTCAAAAAAACCAAAAAAAAAAAAAAAATCCAGATGTTAAACCCGTCAATAATACTATGTACATTAGCAATGGAGCAGATTTCAAAATTCCAGAGGAAAATAATTTTCTGACTCCAAATTATAAACCCAGCAACCCTATCATATAGGAGGTGAAGTCAGCTACATTTTCAGACATTATTTCAGATTTACTAGAACGCCCCCCCAAAG